TTCCTATTCTATCAACCTCACCTCTTAATTTTACTTGATAATATTCCCATGTCACATACAGATTCACAAGCTCATTTACACATAGCAGTTTACCAGTCAACATTTTAATTCCCATGTCACATACACATTCATAAGCTCACTCACACACAGCAGTTTACAAATCAGCATTTTAATTCCCATGTCACATGCACATTCACAAGTTCATTCACATATAACGATTTATAAATCAGCATTTTAATTCCCATGTCACATAAACATTCTCAAGCTCGTTCACACACAGCAATTTACAAATCAGCAGTTTAATTCCCATGTCACATACACATTCACAAGCTCATTCACACACCGCAATTAACAGATCAGCACTTTATCTCAGGGTATCCACCCCTCGACCCATCAACGGGCCAGTACACGTTTCAATTAATGACTCTGTCTTGGGAGCCGAGCAGTTCACTGCTCTCATAGCACATCCGACTGCAGATTCAGCCATAAGCACTTTAAAGCACAGTTTTATTTTAAATGAGTTCCCCCTTCTCTACTACTGCGTATAACTTTAGAAATTAATTATTCTACACTCATCTGCCAACTCAACCACCTTGTATTCAATCATTCTTAATTTTACTCGATTATTACGCCTACCATCGTCATCAGGTTCCCCACTCCTGTTTCCATTTTCCCACTCTCAATCAAGCCGTTAGTCCTTAACATCCCCTTTTTATTTCTAAGTCCCAGTATGTAAATCAGACCTTGTTCCCGATCAATTTCCCCTATTAAGTTAAGTCAGTACCGCTTGTTCAGCATATTTTATTCATCAAGTTTCTTTTACTTCTGCTTTTAAATCCTCTTTCAATCCAATCAGATCAACCCTACTCCTGTTCTTATCCTAACTCCTACATTTCCTTCAGATTTCCCACCCGGTTCTTCTCCCAATTTGTAAATCCATCACCCTTTCTTCACTATAAATTTCACCACCAGTCCATATCGTAATTACAATGCAGCACACAAGAAATTCAGTATATAAACTCTAAATCCCTGTTGTGAAGCGTAGATCAACTTATCTCTCACTCACAATTGCGGTGCTGACCCTCCTAGCATTTCCTCCTATTGTTCCTTTCTTGTCAGTGGTTGTGTTCTGGTGAAATTCCGCACGCAGCCTCCAAATTCATCTCCCTATTGTGACTTTGCTTGTATAAATGAGAATAGTGAGTATCGATCTCTCCTTGCCTGTTTTCTTGCATTCGCATCGGCTTTCACGAGTGGTGGGGAAGGTGCTCAGTCTCCCAGAAATCTCTCCTCCTTCTCGGTCTTCACTTTCCCATGGCGGTGTTTTTCTATTCACATGCCGGAGAGCCTCCGATCCCCCTCTCTCTCTCGCGTGATCAACCCTCTCTCCCTCTCCTTCCTTTTGCTGCTCCATTCTCTTTCTAAATTTGATTTAGGGATTAATTCATGGATTTTGAAATTTTATTTTGTTTAAGTCCTTAAACCCTTTTAAATTTGCAGAAGGCCCCTGGATTATCTAAAAACTCTAATAAAACACCCCAAAAATTAAACACTAAATTATATGGGATGTTACAATATCCAAGTTGTTAGTTAACTGAAAATTTAACAGTTATTCTTCTGTTCATGTCATTAACTCAGATTATATTCTTCTGGATGGAGCATTGCAGATACAATAAATAAGGTAGAATTTACACCTCCTAAATTGTCAAGCCTTTTTTCTCTGTCTTTCGGGCAGACAAAATCACAAAACAATAAAGCACCATCTTCTGGGTGAAAAATAAAAGCCAGCCTCTAGATTCACTAGAAGAGGTCTAAATGGATTCACTAGAAGAAAAGAAAAAGGTTTGTTCATACTTGACCAATGAATCCTATCAGCAAAAATATGCTATCATAATGACTGTCATACAGAACTAGCAGAGAGTATTTTCACATGAAGCAGCTATGTATACCTCGGAAGTTATCGGAATGAATGTAGTAAACAGCACTTACTCGTCAAACAATGCCTTCATTTTTTTTTGGCCCTCAGTTATTGCATCTGGATCCATAGCCTAGAAGATAATGCATCAAGAATCTGGAAAAAGCTGGCTTCTTCAAAAATATTTAAAAATTAACATTTTATCGAGAGAAAGCAGAAGTGCAACCGAGATCAAACCAAATGAGAATTCAAACAAATTAATTAACTTTTTTTACGATATTAAGGCTTAGATATAAGTCAAGCACGACTTTCAAGCAAAAAAAAAGGTTTGCCACACAGACAAGTGAACCTGGACTTTTAACTTCTGGTATCAGAACATGCAACAAAAAAGAATTAAAAAAACCTGTTGCAAGCAATAGCTCCTTTTCCATGAAAGAGATAAGGACAGGTTGATAGATGATAAAGCAAAATGATTTTTTCAAAATACATCAGGTAACTCCATATATTGGATTATAAGAAAGTGCAACATATACCTTGTCATTCATCTCTTGTCTTAACTTCTCCAAATGTGGCCTCATCATCTATATGAACCAGAATAAATCAGTAGGAGTGGATACTAATACAATTTTCTACTCTTAAAGACGGTAAGAACAATTTATTATGTATGCATACACAGATTTGGCAATTTCAGTCCAGGAAAACTAACATTAAGTTTTGAAGTAGACTTGAGTTGACTTATAAGGAGGGGAACCGTAAAACCTCGAATCAGTAGAGTTGTCAAAGCTATTGATGACCACCTGCAAAAGTACACTACTAAGAAAAACCTCAAATGCAAAAAGTGTGGAACTCCCAAACAACACAAATCACAAACCATTGTAGCTTCGTTGCTTACTAATTACAACCCATGTGTATTATCAGAACATTCATATTATACATATTTAGGCAGTCGTTTATCATGTGTATAATTCTTTTCCAGTCCTTTCTGGGTAGGGGCAAAATGTTTGGCATGAGAAGAGGGCAAGCAATATGACACTGATGTGGGACCATCAAATTGTGATGTAGGATGAGAAAAGGCAGAAGGACAAATAAGGAAAGAGAAAATAATATATATGAATTAGGAAAAGATACGCAGACACTAAAGAGAGATAAAGAATGGAAAGTAGAAGTTAATGATGCCCAACTACAAAATAAAAAGTAAAACTTAAAAAAAAAACTGTCGAACTCCCAAGAAGTAATACTGATCATAAACCATTATAACTTAAATTCTTGGAATAAATATCAACCATGCATATGATAGCTTCACCTCTTTAACTAATAATGAAACCATTCTATCATACATATTTAACCACTTGCTTCTCTAGGTATGAACATTTTCCAATTCTTTTGCACGTGGAGGCAAAGAATTCGGTATGAGGAGAGCTCAAGTAGTAGTGGGACCATGAAATTACGACGTAGAATAAGAAAAGGCAGATGGAAGAATAGAGAATGAGAAAATAATATATATATGAATTACGGAAAGGAAAGTAGACAATAAGGAAAGGTGAGGAAGAATAGAATGGAGAAGTGTGGGTTAGATGAGAACCAAAACAGCCTGAGAGGAAAGAAAAATACCAAAATTCTGTAATTTAATTCCAATATGCAACTTAAATTTTAACCTTAACTACAATTTAAAAATAAAAATGATGAAAGAAGACAGTCTCCAAATCTGGTATAAACTCAAGTTCAATATTTTTCTTCTTAATGAAAAAGTGAAACCCAAATAGCTTAGGTAATGGTTCATCATCACATTAACATCACAGGCAGTTTATCTATGTCCTTCACCTCATATGCCATATAAGTACTTTCCTTATTTAATTTAGCAAGAATGAAAATTAAGCTAATTGTGCTTTTGGTGTATACACTATCATACATCCTTCACCTTATATATGGTATCACAATTAATGATCCCCGTAGAATGTATCTGCATTCAACTTGTCCTTACAAATTCAGGTTCAAAAAGACAAGTTTGATTTGACAAAAAACAAAAATATTCTTACTAGAAAATTTTCTTCAACTTGAAAGAACATCTATAAAAATGTCTTCTAATTTTCTTATAAATAGAAAACTGAAAACAATTATCTAAGACTATACAGCCACTTAACATTGGATCTCCAAAGGTACTTTTCACATGAAAATTGCCAGCTGTTCGCTCTTCTTCCCAGGCAGAGCACCGATTGTGCAGTATTTTGGCAAAGTGATTATTGTCTATAAGACTGTAAACAAGCTTAAGCATCCACTTTTCCCTTATATGTCTGCAGAAGATTCAAGCTACAAATTCATTCTCATATCATCTTGATCTCTTTTAAATATATTTCTCAAATAGAACTTATCACTACAAAGCAAACGAGAAAAAGAATCCCATTTTACAAAATCAAGGACAAGTATGAAAGTAAAATAATGAAGGAGCATAGCATAAAATAAGGTACCAATTTAAACCAGTAAATGAGTGTACAGCATCAATCAGGTGTTGGAGGGCGGCAACAGGAAACGAAGAATCTGCTGCAGCAGTAGCGACCTCGTTTACGGCAGGAGCTTGAGATGTTAGAGCCTCCAGGGCCTTCTCTGGGATAACTTCAACAACAAAACCAACATCATCTAGCTTCTCAGACCATTTTTCCTGTGTGGTAGACATATGCCTACAGAAGGAGAATCCAAGCCCCATAGTCTGAGAAAAGGATGAACATCTCCTCCCTTGGAATATAGAACCTAGCCCATCGATTCCATTGTATGAACACTGGGGTGAAGTTTTGGAAATTGGATCCTGAGAGGGGCTCAAATTGAGAGAATTTAATTTAGTATCATCATTGTTATTAGCAAGAAGGTGGCCAAATGATGGGTGAAGCCGTCTGGTGAGAAGGGTCAGTCTTTTATTGATGCTGCGAGTACAAGCCATTTACAGAAGACACTTCCTGCTAAAATAAGTCTTGTATATGTCGGACTTGGAGCAATAATAACAAATTAAAATGACAACCATAAGCATTATCATAATTCTTGCTGCTGCTATGGAGATATTATATTTCTAATAACAAATGGATATCAAAAGATTATAACATCTAATTGCACTTTTCTGTTTTCTTTTCTAGTTCTTAGTGATATTAATCCGCAACACTCCAACACCACCCACCCCCCACCACCCACCCACCAAAAAAAAAAAAAGAAAGGTCCAAATGATCAAATGCGCCAACAAATCTATTGCATGGTGATCCAGATTTCCAAAAAAAAAAAATGCATGGTGGTTCATATAGGTTTTGATTTTCCAAGTTTTAAGTGATGATCATTACTTTCACTCCCTTTTTACTGTATTTTTCTCATCCATAAAGAAGTTCTTATAATCATCAAACGGAAATAACAGTAGAACAAACTATACCAAAAGATAAGGGTCAAATAAATCTAAGACCGTTAATTCTTCTCACAGTTGGTAAAGGGAAATAAACAGGGAAAGGAAAAGACAGAATGAAGAAGAAAAGCACCCTCTGGTTTCAATATTTCCAGTCCCCAAAATTTTTTCGAATAAATACTCAGTGATTTTAAATTCTAAGCAAAATTCCTTTTGTGCTTCGTACATTCTGAGCAACCGAACAGCCAAAAAGATTAAAAGAATCAACTAGAGCGCAGTATTTTTATACGCACAACCAAATGGAAATTGTTACCTTCGCCCAAACAGTGAGACAGAGAAACCAGTTCCAGAGCCAGCAGGCAGCAATCACGACTGGAAGCTCCGCTGTCGACTGTGTGCAATGACAGGGTTCATTTTTCTAAACTTAAAACGCACCGTTTATATCAATTAAATAAACCAGGTGGTGGGCCGTGGGCTCTGGTCTCTCAAAATAGTTGATCCGAGGTACCCCAAAATTTAAATGGCACCGTTTTGCAACGCAACCAGGCTTCCGCGCTCTTGGAACCCGAATAAATGGAAGAGAATCGAGAAAATGGTCGGCATGAATGACGCTGTTGTTAAGGAAGCTGGTAATCAGTACGCTGTCGTTTAATATGGCCAAACCGCAGGGGTAGTAGGGTACCCCCAAGATGCAGGGCACATGGCGCCAATATAAAGAAGCAACAGATGACTTAATTTTATAATAAAGAGAGAAGTTGTGAGGAGAGCTGGAACTGTTGCTTACTACATTATAGTAATTTGAGATGATGTGTATATATGGAGAAAAAGTCATGTTAACCCGCGATGATCAAGCTGCATAACAGGATCAGTTTGCTTACATATACCTAGGTATATATATATATATATATATATATATATATATATACACATAAATGTATATGTGCGTGTAAGTACGCCTGCGACGATGCGAGTATATATATATATATGTGTGTGTATATATCATTTATATATTAGTTATTATCCATCTCGTTTCCTCTCTCAAGGCTATAAAACCAACGACTGGTATTAAATCAAACGAAACTATGTATTTATTATTCATATATATAGAGATCGATACATCAATTATTTAACACAGACTTTTGATCAAGTGCTTGACTCATTTCCAAATTTATTTGGTACATAACATTATATACTCCTTTCTAGCACCAACAGGTCCTCTTGATTCTACCCATCGTACACGCAGAATCATGCCCTGCAATGGCAAATTGATCAATAATTTGAGATGAGAAATGTAAAGCAAATATATATTAATTAAATTAGTAAATATATTATCAATAGTGGATATTTTTATTCTTTTCTGTACTATTAAGAATTTAGTTGTGTTATTTCAGAAAATTTATTATAATACTATTATTATGTAAATATTATCTGACAAAGAAATTTTTAAAAATTTATTAACGTAGTAGAGGGAAAGATGATGAAAGAGGGAGATTACGTGGCGCAATCAGTGTTCTGATCGATTGGAGGAAGAATGAGATCGGGGATCCCACATTTATTAGGAAGTAGAGGGATTCGATTGGGGTCGTAAGATCCAATCTTGCCTAATGCCGCTTTAAGACATTGGCATACAGCTTGCCTGTCAGCTTTGTTCTTAATATCGCCATTGATATGCTTAACTCCTGCACAACACGTACTTGATGGGCCGTTGCCGTTTTTCAAGAAGGGCAAGCATGGTGCTACCTCTACGTCCACCTGCGAGCATGATGGTGCACTCATGGCTGACCCTGTAAAAACTAAGCCCACTATGCCTAAAACAATTATCAGGCACCGACCCATGTTTACCTTTGCCTTTGATTTAACTCTGTGGATGTGCGTACACACACACATATATATATATATATGTCTGTGTATATTCTTTGTTTTGATTGGTTTGGAGGATGTGTTCAAGTGTATGTGGGTTGTTTGTCATGCCAGTTTCATGAGTTTAATTCAATTTGATTTTAGACGGAAACTTTAGCTGTTTAATTATTATTAAATGAACGAAATGATTAACTAGAAATAAGAGAAGTTTCACGGTTGAGAATTAATGTGAATGGATGGTATAGACGTGCAGTAAGGCACCGCATGCTAAACTTGTTAGTTTGTTTATAATGTATATTCAAATAAATGGTACAAATTTTCTATTAAACTAAGTTATTCTTTTAAAAAAGTAAAATTTTCTTATTTAAGCTTTTTTAGAGTGTAGAAAAGATTATCTTCAACTGTAAACAGTAAAATTAAAATGAATTACCTCGTCCCCTACACAAGAAGCTGCTAACTGTTCACCACAATTCAGATAGTGAAGAAGCTGCTAAATACATTCTCGATTCACACTTATAAGTTCAAGAATAACAGTGAGGTTCAAAAAAAAATAAGAGAGGTTCAAGAATAACTTTTTATTTTTTGATCATAATTTGCTGCCTGGAAACCTATGCTCTGTTGCAAAACACGTTAAAATCCTTCTGAGAATAAAGGATAAATTTCTGCCTTCAGATATTTTCATAAAAGGAAAGAACACATTCATGGAAACTATGAACACATTTAGTAACCCAGGACTGCATCCTGACCAGAATAGAAACAAGAGACAGCATGAATTGATCATCTCCTGCAACAAATCTTGCAGTGATTGTGGCTACCAACAAGCTACACTTGTAGTTAATTGATATTTCTCATAGTAGCCCAAAGATGGTTGAATGTTAAGCAGATTTCATATCCTATATACGTACTTTACAAGAATACGTGTAATGCTGACTATGTATCTATTTCTATTGACAAGCTAATACATTGCACAACACTTTCCTATCAGGTGTTTGATGAGTTTCTAGCTATAGATTTGGAGTCAGGACCACGCTTGGCGTATAGAGATCCCACAGATGGTACCTCAGCAGGTGAAGACACCATTGCAGAAAGAGACTGGAAATTTGTGCTTCCAACGAACCAGTACAGAGTCCATTTCAAATTGCAGAGTGTATATTTCAGAGCTTTGGTCCAGTTCTCCTGCTTATTGAAGCTTTGTGTGATAGAGTAATTTTCCACCTTGTCATTCTCAATCCTGCCAATTTTAACCCATCATCATTTGTACCTTACAGAGCATGAGTAAACAAATATCCCATCTTCAGACACATAAATGTACAAGTCCAGCTCTTTTACCACATGACATCATTCATAACAAATTAATCCTCACTTCATTTTGTTAACCATAAACAACAAAAGTTCTCAAATTGTCATGATTGTTAGTCATTTTTCTCCTTATCCAACAACACAAGATTATATCCAGCAGTATTAACCTCCATAAATCAAGATAATGAAAAATCAAATTAATTGGATGAAACACATTATGGCTGCATTCAACGAAGTGTCTAAAAAGGACATGAAGGTGTATGCTGGCATATCATCTGCATGCATGCTACACCAGTATTTCTTGCTGGCAATAAAACTTACTTGTATGGTAATTTGAAACGGTTCTCAGGTGGGATGTTGTTTTCCTGATCCCTAGAATTTGCAAACTCAGCGAAGTCCTTAAGACATGCCAAAAACAATGTCATGGCTTTGTCATACCGAGTGCTCCAAAACAAGTTTACGGGACCAAACCTAAGACATACTCAGAATAGTTAGAAAATCCAACATGCAGTCAGAAAACTCAGTGAAGTCCTTAAGACATGCCTAAAACAATGTCATGGTTTTGTCATACCGAGTGCTCCGAAACAAGTTAGGGTGACCAAACCTAAGACATACTCAGAATAGTTAGAACATCCAACATGCAAGTCAGAAAAGGCAAGAAAACTGCACGTGAAGTACATCCATGATCTGCATATTTAAGGAAGGATATTTATAGGAAGCATATTTAAGGAAGAATAGCTTTGTTAATATATTTATACTGTTTATTTCAAAAACAAAAAAGGATATTTATAGGATTTCCACTACCTGTCAGTTATACATAAAATGAACAAATAATAAGGTAGGGCTCATTCAATGCTATTTTGATGAATCCAAATCCACCTACAAACCTGACCAGTATTTAATATTTTATCCAGAATAAAACCAAATGAAGCTAAACCTGAATTCTGCACCACCAGTTGCAAAGACACAAGAGACTACAATCAAGTTTCCCATTCCTCTGGTATAAAAACAGTAATCCGCTTCAGTGTAAAGGAGTACTTACAGCTCATAAGTATTGTTGCTGGTATCCACAATTCGAGGGTAACTCCCCATAGGATGTATTTTGACTCGACTTCTAAAAAATACTAATTAAGGATGCATCACTGACCACATTATTACTTTATTTTTTGACAAATCACCAATCACATTATCATCTACTGAAACAAATTCAGCAGGACATGGAAGAATGACATTAACTCAAGTAGAGATCATATGGTGCGGCAAAATCAAAACAAGTGGCTCCTTTTCATCACACAGAATTAGAACATGGGCACGGTAGATGCCACTGAAGTGAATCTGAATCAGAAACCATACTTAGACAGGCCATCTTTTTTACTCTAATAAAGATAATTCCTCATCTTCCTTTTTAGCTTCCTTTTCTCTGTTTTTCTTTCTATGTGACAACTAATCCATAGTATGGATAGGTACAGAAGTCTAATATACTGTCCTCAAAGTTTGTTTTGTATGACTACCACAAAAAGCTCCCTAATACATAAACAAAACTCTGATAGCACTGAAACAAAGATGCAGTCAACTATGGCATGGATAGCATTGTAACATGCATACAGTTAAATGCATGTTCTTTCTGAACTCAACATCATCAATTAAAAAGAAAAAATACAATATGGACTAATAGCATCAAATGAAACTGGAACCAAATGTACTTTACTAAGAAGGATACTGAAACTTCGGCCGGAAATAGTTACACATTGTATGGAGAAGAAGACAAGCTTGTCCCCAAGCAGCATTTATCTCATCCCACTCAACCTACATGTTCAGCAACAGAGAAGATGTTAAATCAGAACAATGATTCACATTCTAAAGAGAGGGAAGAACTTCAAAAAATAAGAAAAACATATAGTACGTCTCAGAGAGAGATAAAGAAGTAATCAAATTGTCGCCACCCACCAAGATGCAAGATAAGGAACAAATAAAAATTACTGTAGAGATCACATATTCACTAATATGTGCATATAAATTTGAAAAAGTTCCCATAATTTATTATGAATCATGTCTAATTCCATATAGGAAATTCTTGACACAAACAAGAAATAAGCTGTCATTTCAATACTTCAACCATAATTCTTTTAAACAGTAAGATTTTTTTTTTTTAACAGAAGATTGACCTAAACAATAATGGTTTTGTTGCTAATAACTCGTGTAACATTTAAGCTGCCATTTGTTGCCTTATTAACATAGCCTTTTGGATGGATGTTCATCAAACTTGCCAAATTATCCTAGATACATATCATGTTGTTGGCAATGCCATCCCCAGGCAGGCACATCTGAATCTTTGTTACTTTAGTAATATCATGTTGGCAAAAACTATCAACATACAAATCCTTTAATTAAATTTTCATGCAAAAGGGCAAAAGAGAGAAAACATCAACATGCCTCTAACATGCCTCTTCACAAAATGCATGCAAGAAAGATGGGTACCAAATAACCTAACATGGAAATTCTCAAAAAGGAAAAGTTCACAAAATTTTCCTACTAGAATTTTGGGAAGTCTTCCAAGTCGGAAATTGTTAATTGTCCCAAATTCACCGTCATGCCAGATGGGGAAGGCATCATTAAGAACATTAGTTCTCTTCAGCAGCTCTAGATGTGCTTGTGAAACTTCAATCTTTGCCAAGATTGCATCTCTCTCTTCCTGTTGACCAAAAACAAATTTTTGTTTAAATAATGAACAATACAAAAGTGTTCGTAAAACAAGGGAAAGAAATATGGTTATGCCAGAAATTTCTCAAAAAATTTGTCATTAAGAAGAGAAAGTTAACATTCATCCACAGAAGTGATAGCAGATGATCTGTAAGGGTTACAAGACATAAAGAAAAAAGAAAATCAAACAGAAGATAAATATTTCGTTCAAGAAGTAAAAATACATGATTTTCCAATTGAAATTTTAGCATATCTCCAAATGCAATCGAATAATGAATTTAAAAACATCATTTTCTACCCCAAAGGCATTTGCTTGGATATGAAAATTTCCAATTTGATCATAATACTCGAAAAACTAACAAAAGAATAGAGATATGCACAGAGTGATTCCATATCTAGGGCAATTGTGAACCAGTGAGACAAACTTATTGCAAGCCAGTTGAAGAACAGAAACGACAGGGATGGCATCAGCAACACACTGATGTGCTATTAACTGAAACTGAAAATTATTAAACTCTTGCCAGTACCTATTACAAAGTGAAATCAATCAGTATAACCAACATAAATCCACAATTCAAGAGTTTATAAACACAAAACACAAACTAGTGACAAAAGAAATTTAAGACAAAAAAAAAAAGAAAATTATTAAGACCATCTCATACATCTGGAAATGACAGAAGAGGGGCAGAAGTTGATGATATCAGAGGAAGAAATTTACCGCTCTTCTAATTCTTTAAAGCGTTTAGATTTTAAATCTAGCTCCTTTAGTTCAGTATTTACTTCTGCATTTTGTTTTTCTGTCTCTTCTATTGCCGCTTCAAGTTTTCTTTCTTCTTCCTCAATCTAAGGTAGCATAAAGAGGCAATCCAGTAAATATTTGATATAAGATAGATACTTCTCAATGCTATTTAAGCAGATCTCAGCAAAATTATATGTCCTGAAAATAACAGTAAATATCTGTAGAAAAGAATTCAAGATTGCATTTTTGGCCTGCCCAAAATCCTGAATACTTGTTAACAAACTTATCACTCAACTTTTTTTTCCTTTGGCAGTAGAAAACAGTAATATGACTTTCACAAGGCAACATGGGAGTGCCAATGTAGAAAAGCCGTTTTCACAAAATCATTTAATAAAATATCAGTGAGGTCCCAAGATCCTAAATACTTGTTAATAAATTTATCACTCAAACCTTTTTTTTTGGGAGAAGAAAACAAGACAGTTATTTGCACCATGGGGGCGCTACCCATGTAGAAACACCAGTTACACCAAATCATTTCACACAATATCAGTGAGTTCCCCAGGATCTTGTCTACCTGTGATAGGATAATACTTAAACAGCATACAAATGGTTAGGAATCAATTATCTATAGAGTCTACCAAAAAGAACACAAGCACCCCCTCTATTCTTTTCTTTTTCCAAATAACAAAAAGCTTAGCTAATGGGACGAGAGACACTAATTCATGTCTCTCACACAAAGGATAGCCAGCAGGGTCTATCCTGGGTCTTAAGTTGAATCTTACCCTACCAAAGAATTAAAAAGAAATAATCTAATCCAAAGTTAAAGTTGACTAATAGTATCATTAATAATTATACTTGAACTTTTTTAAATAAATAATCATACTTATCTTTGAACTAGGTTCTTTTTCTTTTTAATTCTTTTGGCAAGATAAGACTCAGTTTAGGACTCAGGCAAGACCCACTGACCTTTTTAAAGTTTGAACTTAAAGTTACATCACCTTTCTTATAAATTTAAGACGTTTCCCATTTTACAGGATGACTGTTTGACTCAGTTTAACCTTAAACTGTATACAACTCATTTCTGCACCTATCCAAAAGAAATAAATACGAAAACTTAAATATAATCAATATTCAAATGGCTTACAACATAGATAACAAGATTGCATCACCAATGATAAAATGTGACAGAATTCACTGAAAAGCTGAAAACAGACAATTGGCCATTTATCAAGGTTTTTTTTTTTTAACTACATAAGATAATTAAATTCTAGAAAAAGGGACATTCACGACTCTACCAAAATTCCCAAAAAGAAAATTGATATTACACCAAATGGACTTATTCTCATAAGAAAAAAGAAAGTAAACGTCTTCCTGCAATTGCTTGAACTTCTGATTCAGACTCTGATAGAATTATGTTATCTGTGTATTCTAGCCTGTAAAGTAGAGCTTTTTTAGGTTTCGTCGATACTGAGACTGGATATTCTCTTTCTCCTAGTCTGGAAACAAAGGTGATTTGGTTTTAGGCAGCCCAAGTCTATCCAGTCCAGGAGGTCTTTTTTTTTAAGACACTACGCTAGCCTCATTGACGATATCGGCATCGGTAGCATTCCATTAACATTAAAATAAAATTAGACTGCAGAAAAATGAGGACTGCTTTGTACCTTTAATTTCTCCTTAAGGAAATCGGCCTCACTAAGAAGATCCTGTGGTTCCCCCTCCAAGCGTCGAAGGCAACCCTCATAAGCATCAATGTCCCTGGTCACATCTTCCACCTCCTTTTCAAGCTTATCAGACAAAACTCTCATACAGTCAAGGCACAAAGGTTGCTCAACCTGGAAATGTTAAATCATGACCTAAACATCTTAGAGGCAGCTATAAGTGTCAGCAAGATAAACTAGACAAACATGTCAGAAAAACATATACAAACCTAAGCAGATCTAGATACCTGTGTTTGGGATGTAGCAATCTCAAAAGCTCTTTTTAAGACAGTTATAGTTGAATGAAATCCAGAATTGTTTGGATGCAAAGCACCATTTGGTCCCCCTTCTCGTGATGGTAAATGAGCCCCGCTTCCATCAGATGCGGACTCAGATTTATCCACAACAACAAAAGACTCTTCCATTGCTTTTCCAGTATGTCCCACATCGGCATGGACTACTCCTCCACGAGGACGTGGAGGGGCTCCTTGGGAGGTACCTTGGCCTTGGGGCTTTTGCTTCGGCAATACAACAAAAGAATTGTCCATACGTGTTGAACCTAACACACTGTTGGCCCCATGCACTGAAAAGCCCTGAATCGCTGGCATGTTTTATTCCAGATTGTTATGATTTTGGAAAATTTTAACTAGCTTATAAGAAAACATATATTGAGATACTGTCATAAGTTTCTTTAGTAGCACTTAAATGGAGTGAGGTAGCAACAAATCATAATTCAAATGGATTTGGCAAAATCAAATGCTCATTGCAAATATAGCCAAATGGAAAATTCATTAAAATGTGTTTGAAATAAAATACACAGCATTTTGTTCCATTTGACTGAAGCGCAACTCAAACCACACATCATAAAGTACACATATACACACGTATAAGCACGCCAAATAATTACTCACAATTTTGCCAGCCATATTTGGATATATACACAGATGAAAAGATGGTTTTACTGTTTGAAT